AACTTTCCAGCTCACATGAAGCCGCGACGCGACCGCGCGCGTCTCGTGACAACCGTACCCTATCTCGTAGTGCCTTCTGACAGTCTCTTATATTGAGTCGTCTGCAGTCGCTTGTACCAACCACCGTATAGTTCTCATGAAATTCTCTCTTCATATACATGAAACGCTGGCATTCCTATAAATTCCTCAGCTTGCTAAGAATAAAAAAGTGTTCCTTAATGTTCAGGTGCTCCTTCTGGAACTTCGTCTGAAAGCTGACGAACAATCTCGTCAGCTGCAAGACTTCGTTTCGTCCAAGGGTCGTCTCCACTCCGAAAACTCGGACTTGGCCCGCCAAGTCGAAGAGCTCGAGGGCAAGATTCAGGCGGCAACGCGTCTGAAGCTTCAGTTCTCCAACGAACTCGATCAAACCCGTCGCTTCGCTGAGGAAGAAGGCCGTGAGAGACAGAATCTCAACAGCCTGTCCAAGAACCTCGCTCGCCAGCTGGAACAACTCCGCGAGTCGATTGAGGACGAGGTGGCCGGTAAAGCCGAGTCGACCAGGCAGCTACAAAAAGCACAAATCGAGTTGGATCAGTGGAGAACGAAGTTCGAGACAGAGGGACTGATCGGAGCCGATGAATTCGATGAGGTGAAGAAACGCCAGAATGCGAAAACCACCGAGATTCAGGACGCTTTGGATGCATGCAATGCCAAGATCGCTGCGTTGGAGAACGCCCGCAGTCGGTAGGTCTTTAGGTATCTATTTTCAAGTGTTCACATATTGATTGGTAATGATTTTCCAGTCTGACCGCTGAAGCTGACACCAACCGCCTTGAAGCTGAGCACCATGCTCAGGCAGTTGCATCGTTGGAGAAGAAACAGAAGGCCTTCGATAAGGTCATTGATGAATGGAAGAAGAAGGTAAGTGACTTGAAGGAGATAACGCTCGCGAACAAAAGATAGGTATCGATCGATCTTCCAGGTTGACGACCTGTACCTGGAGTTGGATAATGCTCAGCGTGACTCACGTCAGCTAGCCGGTGAAGCTCACAAACTCCGCGGCCACCATGACGCCTTGGCCGATCAAGTTGAAGGACTCAAGAGGGAGAACAAGTCTCTCTCTGATGAGGTATCGATTAAAGATCATGAAGGGGAAAATTCGGTGAAACTTCTCAGAAGGTTTACGAAATTTGGTACTTTCCCAGTCGTTTTCGCTGCGGACGCTGGGGCGTGTCAGGGCCCCGGGTTTTGGGGTTTTGTGCGGAGCGAACCCCTGACACGCCCCCAATCCGCAGCGAAAACGATTATATCTCCGGCTCACTCATAT